CCTGGAGAAGTTGGCATAACACTGTTCAGAGGAGGCCTCATAATAACCAAGACAACCAGTTAAGAAGAGGAGTCGTGCCTGCTGCATCAAAATAAAACAGGAGTCTAGTGGCACCTTAAAGACTAACATAATTTATTCCAGCATCAGCTTTGGGGACTCAGAGTTCCTTTCTTCAGATAAATGCATCTGAGGCAATGAAGACTGATTCGTAAAAGCTTTATAATAGGGTAAATTTTGTTAGTCTGTTTGACTGTCCTCACTGAGCAGGCCATATCACCTTTCGCCATAATTTACACAAGCGGCCATCACCATGTATCTTGCCTTTCCTGAACCTGAGAGACAGAATTACACTGGTTCATCTAGACCAGGGGGCTCTGTCATGGCGCCCACCAAGTATTTTTAGAAAGTGGATGGGACCAGGTGGGGCTTTTGCTCAGCAGGGCTTCTGATTGGCCACTGAGACTCTCATTAGCTGTTCAGGTTTTTAAAAAGTTGCTTCAGCAGCAGCTGCCACCACAGCAGGTTGAAGATAAGCTGTGTGTATTGAAGAAAATGTCAATAAACAATATCATTGGTGTTATGTATTAAGATGGCCGTGACCGCATGCGCCAGGCCATGCGGTCTACAGGACTCACGGAACTTCGAGGCCTAGAACAATAGCCCCCATGGATCCTAGCGAGAACCAATGGGAGCACTAGGATCCTGAAGAGAACCTATCGTTACCAGGGCTTTGTATATAGAACCTATCACAGGAAGTGGGGGAGGTTGGGTGTGAGTGTTTGCACCAATATAAGCCGGGCTCACGCCTGCTAAGTAATCTTTTTTGTTCTGATGTAATTAATAAATGAGAACTGATTTCACTATGCTACACCTGGAACTCCGATACTTTTCAATTTTAAAAGGCATCCTGTTAAAGAGAGCTTCTGCCTGTAATGTTGAAGAGATACTATTAGCAGTATGCCTGAGATTTTATGGGTGGCTGCCTCTTGTAACAGATGTTTTGTGGTTCAATTTGCCTCTTGTGGCAGCCATTTTGTGGTTGTGCTCACCGCCCTGTGCCAGAATTCCAAAGGCTGGCTGGGAAGGTTGTGGACACCTCATCTAGACCATGCATTGGATCCAACCAGCTTTTCTGCTGGTGAAAAAAGGAAAGAAGGTATGCGGGAAAGGGGTATGCCAGAAATCATGGGACTGGTATAGACAAAGGCCATGGAAGACAGAGACTGTAATAATAAGGGGAATGGGACTGAATAAAAAGGATTTTTAGATCCAACCCCATTACTGCTATTGACTGGAATTAGTACCACTGACTGGCAACAGGATTCCAAGGTTTTGAGAAGAGGATTTTCCTAGATCTGTTACCTAAGACACATTAATTGGAAATCTCTGGAGGATCAAACATGGAATCTTTTGCAAATACACCAGCTCTGGACCCTCCGTTCATTTTTTTTTCTCAACAGCATTTGAACATTAGTATTATTAGTATGAAACCAAATGCTCACTGTTGGGACATTATTTGAATCTCAGCTTTATCTCTTCAAATCTTTCCACTTACCTCTATGTTCCATATTTTCACCCATCCAGCCAGATCCCCTGTTATCAGGTATTGGCTTGCTTTATCGATAGTCATGATAATGGATCCCATTCCACCATGAGCTTCAAACTCTCCCAGTAGTTGACTTTTCTGTATATTCCAAAACCTAACATAACCAGCAGCTCCACAAGACACTAAATTTGCTCCTCCTAAGAGAAGAATGGTGAATTAGTTGGAGGACTTCCAGAAACACCTAATCTAAAACTGTGGAGGCTGGGATCAAATTAAAATCAGTAGGTTAACTCTCTAACTTCTCCCTACCCTTAAGACAAATTCAGAAGGCAAATGGCTACAAAATTCAGCATTACAGAATGTGAGGGAAGGTAGAGAGGATTGATCAGGGTCTACTGGTCAACTGCTGTCCAACTGGCATAGATTGGCAATGGTTTATAACCCCCTTCCTCTCCCTTAATTCTAAAGGTATGATTAAGCTATTTTATACTAAGTCAGGCCATCGTCAGTCTATCAGGGTCAGCGTTCTCTTCTCTGACTTGCAGTGGCTGTCTAAGGTGGAAGGTGGAGGTCCTTCGCATTACCTGATCCATGCCAGGAATTGAACCCAGGACATTCCACAGGCAAAGCAGATGCTCCGCCACTGAGCCATAGCCCCTATATTGTACATATATGATGACAGTTAATTTCTTCCATTCCCTCATGCTACAGCTCTAATCTGATCTACACACACACCCCTATCATTAGTATTTTTAAAGGGTACAGAAGATCCAATCACTGACCTCTTGACGTCATTTAGTTGCACTCTGAATCTGAACAGCAAACAGTTTCCTATTAATATTGGATAATGATCGATTTAGGGATATTTGAATTAAGTTCCTTACTCAGTCCTAAAGCTCACTGGATGGCCTTGGCTCAGGCACTATCTCTCAGCCTAACCTGCCTCACAAGATTGTTGCTAGGTAGGAAAAAATGGACTGGGAAGAACTGTGCATGCCTCTCTAAATTCATTTGAGAAGGGGCAGGATAAAAAAAAAAGAGTAGTAGTTAGTAATGTGCATGAATCTCCTAACTAGCCCTAAGAGTTGCAGAAAAAAATAACAAGACTTGAAGCACTCGGCTTGTGCATGCAACACTCTTCTCACACAGTTGTTATGAGGACAAGAAACTAGGATATTTCCTTCAACACCTAGAAATAGGAGATGTAAGTATGTTTGATAGGAAGTGACTATGTGGAGAGAGCTCTGTTTATGCATGTCAGTAGGTAGTGGAGACAACACCAGCCCCCTCTTTTTCTTGGCTCCCCACATTGCATCCATCAGTCCCAGTGAGGTCACAGATGCACCTTATAAAGATCCTGACACCAACCAACTGATCCATGGTGGCTGGCCCTTTAGGAGTCAGCCGGTGAGATTTGGCCTTTTGACAGTGAGCAGTGTGACAATCAGCTACTGGGAAGCTCCCCACTGGGGTTGGGGAAGGGGAGTGACAGGGCAGAAACTTTTCAGAAGGTACTGTTGGTCCCTCACAGGTTTGGCCATGCCCCCCGTAGGGATCCTGCATAGAGGGAGGCCACTAGGCATTCTGCAGGCCTAGCTAGGGCCATGGAAAGACTTGAGGGGGGAGGCTGGTGAGGACAGACCAGCTCTGGCTCCCAGCTCAAAAGGCAGAAGAGCTAGAGGAGGGGCGTGGAATAGAGTGGCGCTCAACTTTCGTCCCTCTCTGTGAGGTGAAGGGAAGGCACTTCAGCCAAAGTGGCCAGGGTACATGATTGTCAGAGCCTGGGATCCTACAATGCAGTACAGGCATCAGCTTGTGTTTTCACAGAGGTGCAGCATGCCTCCATTCTGCAGTGCAATAAATCAGTATGTCGCATGACCCACAATCCAGAAGTCTGGGACATATTCCCTTCAAAAGTAGATAAGGTAAAGGTAAAGGTTCCCTTGCTCGAAAGCCAGTCGAATCCGACTCTAGGGTTGCGGTGCTCATCTCCGTTTCAAAGCCAAAGAGCCAGCACTGTCCGAAGACGTTTCCGTGGTCATGTGGCCGGCATGACTAAACACCAAGGCTCACGGAACGCTGTTACCTTCCCACCGAAGTGGTCCCTATTTATCTACTTGCAATTTCTTGCTTTCGAACTGCTAGGTTGGCAGGAGCTGGAACTAGAGACAGGAGCTCACCCTGTCTTGCGGCACCCGGGTCTTGAACTGCTGACCTACTGACCTTTCACAGCCTGCAGTTCAGCATCTTAACCACTTGAGCCACCGCAGCTCCTCTCAAAAGTAGATAGTGAGGGGCAAACCCACCTCACTTTGATGTCTTGCAGGGAGGTAAGAATCAGTTTAGGATACATGTGGTTGGCAGGTGTCAGGTCCCCTAGTAGCAAGAATAAACCGTTCCACATGTCCTAGAGATGATGGAATCATGAACTCCCATTCTAATGAGCCCAATCCTACACATGTTGACTTGGAATTAAGTCTCACTATATTCAACAGGACTTGTTCCCCTGTAAATTCACTTGGATGGAACCTTAATCTTGAGTCTAGTAGCATATCCTACACAAGAGTGGTATGTTTTGTGCTCTTTCCTTAGCTCATCTTGCTAAATGCAATACTGATTTCCCATTATGCGTGAACTCATTAGATCGCACATTTGTTTATTTTAGGGGTCATACTGCACCTTTCCAATGGAGTGAAATACGATTCAGTCCATGGAGTCACCAAACTTACCAAAGTTCTAAAAATAGGAAAATGGTCCAGGGGAACCTGGGAATTTATGAGATTGTAAATCGTTATGCAAATGCTTGGTAAACCCAACATCCGCTTGTCAATTTTATGTGCTTTATAAACAACAAAGAACCCTAAATAAGCCCTTTAGGGCACCAGTTTTCCCAAATCTTAGAAGATAAATTGGCAGAAAGATTCCAATTTGCCTTGGAGGGGGGGAACCAATAATTTGATTCAGAAAAACATCTGGGAAAAGCAGCTGAGAAATGATTTTATACACTCAGGATTAGTGGCTGTGAAACTCCCCAATCGAACCAAATTTTGCCATGACTTAACATCCTGCAGTGCCTTGCTGGCTCGCCCGGGATATAAATCAATACTCTGACTTTCTGCGTGTAAGCAGCCTTCCCCTACAGCCTTGTTCATTTGGGTTATTGGAACTAGCTGTCAATATCGGACACAGTCAACTCAATCCTGCCCAAAATAAGAAAGGGCTCTCACTCGCTACAGGCCATACATTTTAAATGCCTCTACAGAGTTTCCCCCCACTGTTTTCTGTTGGAAAAGATCTCAGCTATCAGCGGGCCCTCCTTGCTCACATGGAAAGCAAAGTGCAGAAGCTCAGTTACATTTATTTTACCTTTGTGTTCATTTGCCCATTAAGCGAGGGTCCCCTGCAGCATGCCAGTCATGCCCATATCCACACAGGCTGACAACCAACACCAAAGCATGCACAAAATTATTGGTGGGATCCCAAGTGAGGATACCAGCCCATATTAATCTTTAGTATGCAGTGGCAGGCTTCCCATAACCCCAGCCACCATTTAGGCGAGGAAACCTTAATTATTCCACAGTGCTGTTTGCTCCTAGTAAAATTGCATAGAAGATGTGAAAAAGGAGGCCTACAGTGGCAGGAGACACCCTGTTTTGGACCCATGACCACAGGTACCTGAAATCCATACAGAGATTGTTCCGGGCTAAATCAAGGTTACTGGAAGGAGAAGCTATACAGAATTTGTCCATTTCACTGCCCAAACAGAAGTTTTGGATCTCCCAAAACACACGGATCCAGTGCGCACAGACTAAACTGTTCCAGCATTGACACAATGGGATGTTAAGCAATATCAGTTCCCCATGTGATAAAAATCATACTTGGTCATCCAGCAGCTGTGTACCTATCCTGGGGGTAAATTATATCCCCCCCCCTTATTTAGAGCTCCCTGATATTGTGAAACTATAAACTGTAGTTTCAGTAACTTGTTCCTAAATTTTGCTCTAACCAGCAAGATTGCCAGGCCTTCCCGTTAAGGCAATGCCTGCCATCACTCTGAGTGGTAGTGGGAAGGCAAAAATAGACTGCCAACGTGGGGTAACTCTAGGAATCACCAGAAACGACAGCTTTTCCAAAAAGTTTCTGGCAATTCCTACAGCTACCCAGAAGCGACATAGCAGCAACATCACTAATGTCACACGCAACCAGTGTTCCCTCTAAGCTGAGTCAGTGTGAGCCAGCTCACAGTTTTTTAGCCTCTGGCTCACACATTTTTGTCTTAGCTCAGGAAGGACGGCTCCAGAGCAAATTAGTTTATGCAGCAGCCAAATTGCTCGCTCACAACTTTAATGCCGGTAGCTCACAAAGCAGAATTTTTGCTCAGAAGACTCCACAGCTTAGAGGGAGCATTGCACACAACCCCACGCCTCCACCCTCAACCCTCCCGGTGGTTTCTAGGCTTGGCCTGGTAACCCTGCAAAAAGCATAAAGAATGGTTCAGAAGCTTAGGGACTAGGATACTGGAAAGACTGCCTACTTCATCAGACACCTGTACCTTCATTCTTTCTTTGGGATAAGGCAAGTTACCATCAGGAGAAGGGTCTTCTTCTCAGGAGTGGGCTGCCATCCCCTCCACAGTCCATCCAGCCTCCTGAGCTTCTAGACACACTTTAAGAAATACAGTGGTTTCCCCATGCTTTGAGTTTTATTTTTATATCTTTCCTTCTCTCTCAGGGAGCCAGCTTGGTGTAGTGGTTAAGTGTGTGGACTCTAATCTGGGAGAACCGGGTTTGATTCCCCACTCCTCCACTTGCACCTGCTGATGTGACCTTGGGTCAGTCACAAGCTCTGGCACAGCTGTCCTTGAAAAAGAGCAGTTTCTGTCAGAGTTCTCTCAGCCCCACCCACCTCACAGGGTGTCTGTTGTGGGGAGGGGGAGAGAAAGGAGTTTGTAAGCTGCTCTGAGACTCCAAGAGAAGGGCGGGGTATAAATCCAATCTCTTCTTCTACTTCTTCCTTTATAAATAGTTCATGAACCTGAGTTTTGACTGCTGGTTCTGTATAGACATCTACTTTACAATATTTATTTATTTATTTCTTCTATTTATATCCCGCCCTCCCTGCTGAAGCAGGCTCAGGGCGGCTTACATAAAATCTTAAAACGCATAAAACAGCACAAAATTAAAGTCACAGTTCATTGTGACAGTTAGAGCTGTCCTAAAGTGCTGAGGTGCTAGAGCTAATCTTAATAATAGTGCAATTATAATAGCAGACGCAACAGGAGATGTTAGAGTAGTCATCAGGGCATGAACATAGTTGTAATTCAGCTTATTCAGATAGATGATAGATAGATAGACAGATAGATGGACAGATGATAGATAGATGGATAGATAGATAACTCGCTGAAGTCCCTTGTTAGTATATCTTTCTCTTCTTCACACTTTTCTCCTCCTTCATTTTCTCCTCTCTTCCTTTCATTATATGCTTTAATGTCTTCCTCCCCTCTTTTAATCCTCTACCCGTATTGTCAGTCTCTTGGTCTCAACTCCTTCTCATCCCTGGCTGGTAACTTAGAATGTACTTAGAAGCAGTGTGTACCAGCAAACCCTGGTTAGTATTCTAAACAGAAGCAGTTCCATTTAGTTCCATTTTAAACACTGTTCAGTCAGTGGGTGGTTGTTGTTGTACTGGTGGGATATTTAATATCCCTTTGTAAATGCTACTTTGCAACTGTAGACATTAAGCTTCGTGTTATATGATAAATGACAATCTTTTTAGAAAATCAGTCCCCAAGGATCCCAGCACTTCTCATCCAGCATCATTACATGACCAGTATGCCCCTGCTTTTGTGCTAGGTAAAGATATAAAACTTAACTTATTCTTACTGATTTACTTACTAAAGATTTAGAGGAGGAGGAGGAGGAGGAGGAGGAGGAGGAGGATTTATACCCCACCCTTCACTCAGAGTCTCAAAGCAGCTTACGATCTCCTTCCCTTCCTCTCCCCACAACAGACACCCTGTCAGGTAGGTGGGGCTGAGAGAGCTCTGGGAGAACTGCCCTTGAGAGAACAGCTCTGAAACATAAAATTACATAATTAGACACATGATTTGGATCAGGGTCATATGGGGAATCCAAATCATGTGTCTAATTATGTAATTTTATATTTGTATACACATATATACGTGCACCAATACAGGACACACTCTTACGTCTACTGAAGTGGGCTGTAGTTCACAACAAACTTTTAAGCACAATAAATTAAACACATGATTTGGATCAGGGTCATATGGGGAAGGGGCCACGGTGGCTCAGAGGTTAAGACACTGAGCTGCAGACTGGAAGGTCTGTCGTTCAGCAGTTCAAGACCCGAGTGCCCTGTGACAGAGTGATCTCCTGTCTCTGGCCCCAGCTCCTGCCAACGTAGCAGTTCGAAAGCGAGAAATTAAAAGTAGATAAATAGGTACCACTTTGGTGGGAAGGTAACAGCGTTCTGTGCACCTTGGCGTTTAGTCATGCCGGCCACATGACCACAGAAATGTCTTCGGACAGCGCTGGCTCTTCAGCTTGGAAACGGAGATGAACACCGCACCCTAGAGTCGGATTTGACTAGCTCTCAAGCAAGGGAAACCTTTACCATATGGGGAATCTTTGTCCAGGGGCCCATGGTGGCTTGGCAGCCCTGGAGCTGGAGAATATTACCCATATCTGAGTAAGTTTTGAGTCCAGTAGCTCCTTAAAGACCAACAAGATTTCCAGGGTATAAGCTTTCAGGAGTCAAAGTACCTTTTGTCAGATACTCTCAGAAGTTCATACCCTGAAAATCTTGTTAGTGTTTAAGGTACTACTGGACTCGAATCTTGCTCTTCTCCTGCAGACCAATATAGCTGCCCGCCTGAAAATATCCCATACCTGTTACTGAGATATTCTCCCGGGCCTCCAGAAAGAAGAGCCTGGTAACAGCACAGCCGTTCTCTGAACCAGAGGTGGAGGAGCATGGCACAGATAACGTGTGTCTTCTAGAGGACAGCCTGCCCGTAGGACTCCCTTTCTTTGACTCTACAGAGAAAATTCACAATCAGAGTCTGGAAAAGAAATACACTTTTCCATGATGCCTACAATCGATAAGGATATGCAAGCTTCTCTTTCAGCAGCTGCCTTCCCAGAATCCCAAATAAACCTTTGTGCTCCTCTGCATTGAAAAACCTGTTCAGAGAGGTTAGCATGCTGAATGGAAAACCCTGGGGAGAAAAACATATGTGAGCCAGTTACAATTTCCTTTTCAGTTAATTCTTTTCCCCAAAGGCAAATAAATACAGCCATGAGGACTGGGGGCTTGCACGTTTTTAATGGAATCTAAGAACTTCAAGAGTTAGGCTTATTATTGTACCATATCTACAGAAATTGGTGGAAAGTATTCCAATCGTTGCATAAACCAAAAGGAGTCTTGTGATGCCATAAAGAATAACACATTTTTATTCTAGCATAACCTTTCACGGATCCAAGATAAGTGTATTTTTGGGAAATATGCAAATTTCATGCACAAACCATTATACTTTGAAAAAAATATATAAAGAATTATAGAAAAAAATTAAATACAAGAAAAGCTACATTAGTGGTTTAAACAATTGTTTTTACATCAGTTTCTGTCTACAAGTAAAATTTCCAAAGGGGAACAATGTGAAACGTGAAACACATTATAGGAATAATTAATTAATTAATAGTTCATACAATACACATGCTCTCAGAAACTGTGCATACAACGTGACAGAAATCAAGGCGTGCTTGCATTAAACAGTTGAAAGGACTATTAGCTTGTGTGAAGGCATACAATGATTTGGTCAAGATCTTGCATTTTTTCCCCTGAGATTAGAAAGAGAGACACATTAATTTTTTTGGCACTTGGCTGATGATAGTTTAAGGATGCTGAAAATGGTTTGAGAGAGGCATTGCTTCCCCTGCTGTGCAAACCCTTCCTGCCCTACTGTTACTTCTGGTCAAACAGGTCTTTGATATAACCCCTACACACACACACACACACACAAAACACCTTGTTTACCACAGAGGAAAGCAGGGCAAATACATAATGTAAACATCAGCTGCTCCAACTAGGGTTGCCAGTCTCCAGGTGGGACCTGGAGATCTCCTGGAATTACAAGGGATCTCCAGACAACACGGATCAGTTGCCCTGGAGAAAATGGCTGCTTCAGAGGGTGGAATCTTTGGCATTGTACCCCACTGAGGTCCTTCTCTCTCCAAGCTCTCCAAATCTCCAGGAATTTTCCAACCTGCATCTGCCAACTCTGGCAACCTACCTTCATCCCCTCTGTGTATTTCAACACAGACCATGGATAAACAGGGAGGATGTATTTAAAAATATAAAGTTAGGTTTCTACAGTATTCTCAACACAAGTTCCACTTGGAGAGCAAAGATGTGCGTTAACTCAGCCGTGCACACGCATGCGTTTCACATCTCCTGCCTTTTTATGCAGATCCTGAGGAAGGAATCCTGGTTTAAAACTTAACCCCCGTTACATTACACTGACCTGGATGGCACAGGCTAGCCTGACTGTGTCAGATTTCAGAAGCTCCTAACTTTATGAAACCTTTTCCCCTCTACACTGATGCATCTAATAAAGGGCTAGGGGCTAGAGGCCATGTTAAGTCAGAGTGGGGAGGATGGAAATCAACATCCCATCGTTTACTTGAGTAGAAAGTTGGTGGAAAGACAGCAACACATCTCTATGATTGAGAGGGAATATTTGGCAATAGTGTGAGCCATAGGTAAGCTGAAACCATACCTATGAGGGAGGAAATTCACCTTGTGCACTGACCATTCACCCTTATGTTGATTTAACCAGGTAAAGAGTACAAACAGCAAACTGATGATGGAGTCTTCAGTTACAGGATTTCAATGTTGACATAGTACACATAAAAGGGAAGGAGACTGTCATTGCAGATGCATGCTTCAGAACCACCTAAGGGTGGAGATCGTTAAAACAGATTGTTAAAAGTATTTTGAATGTTGTATGTGTACATATAATGGTATGTAAAGTTTAATGTTTGGTATCAAAGTAAATAAAAGGGTAACATGCGCCCACATGCTTTCTTGCCTTGAAACCCCCCACGGGGTCACCATAAGTCAGCTGTGACTTTACAGCACTTTCCATCACCACCACCAGTTACATATATGCAAATATTGAAGTGAATGCAGTGCAGTCCACAAAACCTTATGAGTTTAGCTGTGAGAGACTACCAGTGTAGCAACACTCTATGAATGCTGGCACACAGGTTAGCTAGAATTAGCTTTGCTGCCTTCACCCATCCCCCAAACAGGATTCCAAACCTAGATTCGATAGTTAAGGATCATGTTTCTGTGGAGAAAACTCCAATTAACCTGTGCATTTGTACCTCATAGATAACCAGAGCTAACTTCAAACCAGAATGTCTTCCTCACACTTTGAGTGGGGAGAAGTAAGGTGCATTAAACCTGGCAACAAGCCAAATTCATGCACATCCTGCGTTTTTGGTGGCTTGCTGTGACATCCAATGATTGCAGCTCATGAGAAATCTACATTGCAAAACATGCTTTTCGTTTTAATCATTTGCATGTTGCTTAAACATTTATTCAGTTCTAATGTGGTTTCAGTTGTTTGTGCAGAATTCTGTTTTTATACATTCATTCAGTTCCATTGTGGCTTATGGGTCAAACCAATAAATTTTATGATTGCTGCTGCCTCATGAATCAGGATAAAAGCTTATAAAACATGGCCTTGTTAGAAGATGAATTAAACCACCAGCTCTTCAGCCTTTTTTGTTTTATTTTTTTAAAGTAGGCAAGTTTGTTTAGGATTTTGTAGGAAGCCTATTCTGAGAAGAAAACTCTCAGAAAAATCCATGAATTTTGCATGTGCATGTCTCCCAATACCAGCAAATTTCTACTCTTTTATTATTTATTTTTTAAAAGCCTTTGAGTTCCACTGTTTAGTAGATGGAGATGCTTAGATTCTATTCGCTGCAATTTGACTGAGGACCATATTCTGCTACATGCGCTCGCATGTGCATTTCATGTTACAGTCAGGATTTAAAGAGTGACTTTCAGCACTTCCAAGGGCTTGGGTGCACCTGGTGAAATTCTTTTACAAACAGTAGAACTAAAAACTGAACAGTAGTTCATTTTTTTTAATGGTTTTTATTTTAAAAATGGTTTGACATGCAGAAGGGGAGTGGGGCAGTTTGCAAAACGCATGCCCCCCCCCCAGCTTTCTTTGATGGCACAAATACTTGCCCAGTTCTTTGGACTCCAGCCAGTGAGGATTACCAGCCCCACAAGTAAACATGCTGTCATCATTCTGATGATGCAAAGTGCTAATTAATACACAGCCTGAGAAAGGAAGAAGAAGGAAGCCTTTTGAGATTTCTTGCTTATAAGCCAATAAACAGAAGGAGCAAAGCTGAGACTGGCTCTAAAAAGATTAAAAAGATGAATTTCCTAAATCTGTTGAGGCATAAAATTTGAATTCAAAATTCTGAAAGCCACCAAGGAAATTAATCCAAAATGAGATGCAATGGGAGTAGCTTGCTCCACAGTGAGAGCAGATGGTTCCTGCAAAGTCTGACCTCTCTGTTACCCCCCCCCTTCTTACCCTGTTGCATCTCCCATCCCTCCCCCATCCCTTGCCAGTGGCCGGGGGGTGGTGGTAATCCTAGTTGCATCCTCCTGTCCTCTTTTTTTTTTCCCCTGCCTTTTTGGGTACCATTTAATGCTATATTTTTTTTCTGTTTTTCACTATCTTTTAATGGTATAAACTTCCTACTTTTTTGTTATTCATTAATGCAACTTTTGAGATGTGGTATTGCGGTAAAACTCTCAGACTAGGGTTTGGGATACTTGGATTCAGTTCAGATCGTAGATAATGACAGCATTATACGCCATCTTCATGGAAGATCAATTTGGAACATCCAGAGCACTTAATAATAATAATGTCGTAATATTGTAGAATTTGTTTTAAATGGTTTTAAATGTGTTTTATGTGCTGGCTTAAGCCTGATTGTGAGCCGCCCTGAGCCCGCGTTGCGGGGCGGGCGAGCTATAAATTGAACTTATAAATAAATAAATAAAATAAATAACATAGGTATAGCTCTCTCGCTCGCTCTCGCTCTCACCTAGGGTTGCCAGGTCCAGGTTGGGAAATACCTGGAGATTTTGGGGGTGGAGCCTGAGGACGGAAGGCTTTGGGGGAGGGAAGGACTTCAGTGGGTTACAATGCCATAGAGTCCACTTTCCAAAGCAGTCATTTTCTTCAGGTGAACTGTTTTCTGTTACCTGGAGATCACTTGTAATCCCAGGAGATCTCCAGCCACCAGTTGGATATTGGCAGCCCTAACTGAATCTATGGTTGCCACCTCTGGGTTGGAAAATACCTGGAGATCTGGGGGGTGGAGCCTAGGGAGGACAGGAGGAGGGGAGGGACCTTAGTGGGATATAATGAACTCTGTTGCTTGGAGATCAGTTGTAATAGCAGGAGATTTCAAGCCACCACCTGGATGTTGGCAATGCTAGTCTAACCTTCTTCACTGGATTGGTGTGAGGATAAATTAGAGAAGGGGAGAACCACATAAGGCAGGCGTTGCTAAGCTCCTTGGAGAAACAGCAGTACAACAATGTGACAGAGAGATTCCCCCCCCCGTTCCTCCGCAACATTATACTTTGAGTTTTAGTCCTTTCCGCTTTCAAAAATCTCCATACAGTATTTCAGTCATACCCATTAGAAGCTTTTTTTGAGCCCATCTTGATCTAGGGGTTATTTATCCGGTGAAAATGAGTCACCCTCCAATTTGTGACTTTCCCAAAAAAAAAAAAAATCTCCCTTCCCTGGGCTGATGCACAAGCAGTAGAGCAAAAGACCCCTTTTTCTTATCTTTCTGCCTACTGTTTTATAGGCATTCTCGATAGCAGGATTTCAGAAGATTAAATATACGGTCCCCTTTAAAACTTGTCTTGGGGAAACAACCTCAAGCAAGCTCCGTAAGAAACATAAAACCAATTTGCCAAGCCCTTCTGCGAACATACTAAAATATGTTTCTTTCCCTGCCATAATACACCCCTTTCTCCCCTCCCCACCTCATACACACCCGTATTTCTTCCGTAATGGAAGCGGCAGTTTGTAGAGTAGGGAACAATTACGAATTGCCTGCCGGCATGGTGCTTAATATATGATAACCATTAGTGTGTGAAGACTCTCAACCAAATGAAATTTTTCAGGTTATGAACGGCCTCGAGGGGAGGCTCAGTGGTAGGAGGGCTGCCTGCCATTATTTATCACTCTGCGCCAAAACAAGGCAAAAATTAAGGGAATGCTCCCTGCTGAAGGTAATAATATATTTTTAAAAATGCTGATGCACATCCAAGACAATAAACAGAAGCAATAGCCTTGAGAGCGAGGGAAGATTATCAAGGAAGACCAATACCCCCACCGGCCCTTTGTCACTTTGATAAGGGAAAGGCATAAACAACCCCCTAGCTGGAAACTCATTATTAGTAATTTCATAGATCAAAGTTTCCCTAGCCTTGTTGATCCCACAGAATGAGAGATGGAAGGAGCTGCTTGGGATAGAAAACAGCCATTCACCATGCAGCAACTTTTACAGGTGGGTGGTGGTGGTGGTGGTTATGACTGCCTAAGGAGCTAGTGGTCTGGAGTTGTCTGCTCACGTGACCCCTCCCCATTTGCTCCCCGGATTTCTGATTGGCTAAAATTAGCCTCACGGCATGAGCCAACACTGCAGGCAGTCAGCTCCTCGTGTAAACAGAAGCTCCATGGGGGGCTAAAATACATGTGATACTGGGATTCCATTATTAGAAATGCAGATGTGTATTGTGGCTTCATAATGCAGTTGTAGGGAAAAGCAAATGTTGCTCAGGGCTGCAGTTCTTGGAGGGTGGAGTCCTAACTCTTTCCAGCCCTCTTCCCAAATTAGAAATGCTTTCCAGATGTTATGCTTCCCCCCCCCACTACCACCACCACCACCGATAGGGCTGCCAAGTCCCTGGTGGGGAATCACTGGATCCTGGTCCTGTTGCATGCCACTACTATGAGTGGCAGCAGGGAGGGTTTTTTTTAAAGCCTCATAATACTTAAAAGAAGGTACAGGAAGCGACAAAAGGTAGCTCTAGAATCACCCAAAACTGTGGATTTTACCATAACGTTTTTGGTGATTCCTAGAGCTATAGTTTACCATAGACTTTCTGGTGATTCCTCGAGCTACCCTTTGTCCACTCCTGTGTCAACAACTGGTAGGTACACAAGGCTGTATTTTTTAATCTTTCTCCAGCATCCCTGTGCCCCCCCCCAGCCCTCCTGCTGGTTGCCATGCCCTTCCTGCCAATTTTACTTACCAGGGTCCTGAAACTGCCCGGGAGCATTTATTATTAGGGAAATGGGGAAAAGTTAACCACTCCCAAGGAGGAGGAGGAGGAGATTGGATCCATACCCTGCCCTTTACTACAGAAGAAGAAGAAAAAAAACAGAGGAGGAGGAGGAGATTGGATTTATACCCTGCCCTTCACTATGCAGACGATACCACTCTAATGGCAGAAAGTGAAGAAGACCTAAAGAACCTCCTGCTCAGAGTAAAAGAGGAGAAGCTCAACATCAAAAAAACTAAGATCATGGCATCCGGCCCCATCACTCCTTGGCAAATAGAAGGGGAAGTCGTGGAAGTAGTGACAGACTTTACGTTCCTGGGATCCCAGATCACCGGAGACTGTGACTGCAGCCATGAAATTAAAAGACGCCTGCTCCTTGGGAGGAAAGCGATGGCGAACCTAAACATCATGATAAAAAGTAGAGACATCTCCCTGCCAACAAAAGTCCGCATGGTCAAAGCAATGGTATTCCCAGTAGTCATGTATGGCTGCGAGAGTTGGACTATAAGGAAGGCCGAGCGCCGAAGAATAGATTCTTTTGAACTATGGTGCTGGAGAAGACTCTTGAGAGTCCCTTGGACTGCAAGGAGATCAAATCTGTCAATCCTAAAAGAAATCAACCCTGACTGTTCCCTGGAAGGCCAGATAATGAAACTGAAGCTCAAATAGTTTGGCCACCAAATGAGAAGGGAGCACTCACTGGAGAAGACCCTGATGCTGGGAAAGATTGAAGGTCAAAGAAGACGGGGACGGCAAAGGATGAGATGGTTGGACAGTGTGTGCGACGCAACGAACATGAAATTGAGCAAACTTCAGAGGACAGCGGAAGACAGGAGGGCCTGGCGGGAGCTGGTCCATGGGGTCGCGAAGAGTCAGACTCGACTGTGCGACTGAACAACAACAACAACAACCTTCACTACCGAAAGGAGTCTCAGAGTGGTTTACAATCCCTTCCCCTCCCCACAACTGACACCCTGTGAGGGTTGAACTGCCCTTGAGAGAACAGCGCTGAAACAACTTGTAACTGACCCAAGGTCACACCAGCAGCTTCATGTGGAGGAGTGGGAACTCAAACCCGGATCTCCCAGATTAGAGTCTGTGCTCCTAACTACTACACCAAACTGGCTCTCTTGCAGCTGCCTGAGGCTGAATCACACATCTGGGGTTCTGATCATAGAACTCCAGCACTACCGGTACTACGTCCCCCCTCAGAGTGGCAAACTTACCCATTATCTGATCTGTATTCTCCTATCTTTTGCCTCAAGTTAAATCTGGTACCCCTCGGGGTACCAGCCAGATATCTAGAGTGGCGTACGCCAGCCTCTCTCTGTCCCCCAGCAGTTCAGTCATGTAAACAAACATTATGTGACCTTCAGAGATGCCTGAGGTTTGTTACCACCGCCACTCCTATCAGCAGCCATCTACTTACCAGAGTCTAGGGTGTGATCCTTTTATAGGTTCCCAATTACAGCTTGGGAAATTCCTGGGGATTTGGGGGCAAAGCCAGGAGAGGGTGCAGTATGGAGACAGGAGAGAGCTAAATGGGGAGGCCATGCTCCAAAGTTGCCTTTTCCCACAGGGGAACTGATCTTTGTTCTCTGCAGACCAGTTGCAATTCCAGGAGAACACCAGACCCCCACCATCTGGCAGTTCGTAACCTTATTTTCACATGCCGCCACCCCCACCCCCCCAGAAAATTCTTCAGTATCCTCCTGGGTCTGGGTGCTTTTCCTGCTTCTCCATGGAGCAATGGTGTCCCCAGCTGTCTAACGCATGTCCCATGAGGATTTGCACTAACCTGAGCTGCACGTTACAGTTTTTCCTGGATTCAGGTTTAGTTTAATGTAGGCATTCTCTGTACTGTTATTCCACACAACGATTTCACCACCAGAACTACCTGTATCAGACAAAAAGTCAACATGCTATTAAGGAGTGCTCTGTGTGCAAACATTTGACTTTGTATTACATATTTCCTTTTCATTTTGTTTCTTTTCTTTTCCAGGGGGGAAGGTGTTACCGAAACGCGCTCTGCTAGCTCCACAGAGGAATACAGATCAGTGCTGCTCGAACGGCTGTAAAAAACCAACTTCAGGTGTAACAAAAAAATCTATCTAAGTCGCACATCAGAATGTCAACCAAACTTACTGCCTGCGAGGTTTCAATACATAGGGCTCATTTCAACTGAGTTTCCCTTAAATGTTTGCTCTCCCCCCATCTCAAAGCTTCATGTCTACCTGGTTTCCCAAAATCCCACTCCCTCTAGGCAGCAAATACAGGTTCAGCCACTGAATATCTATCAACTTCCTGGTTAATTCACAGATTCTGCAGTAAAAACAGGTTAATTGACTCAATAGCTTAACCAGAACGTGCTGTGCCATTCACATGGCAGAAGACATTCACTCAGTTTTTCACTTTCAAAACTAATCTCAAACCTCATTGGCTTTCCAGGGTACATCCTGAAGCTGTCAGTAAGGTTAATAAGCAAAAGAAAGTTATGTGCATGTGGAAAGTCCTCTCACGGAGTCCATTTTAGAGCAGAGCACTACGTCAATTTACCAGCTGCGGGGTTTGGGATTTACATAAACTTTAAGTAGTATGACAGTTTCATACAATTGAAGAGATGCAGCTGAAAGATACGTTCTATGTACCCACGCCCAGGGCTTAAATTCAGGGTAGGCTCTCTCCGGGTATCTCTTCCAGCATAAAATGGAGATCTCCCATTTCAAGAAGGAGGAGGAGGAGATTGGATTTATACCGCACCCTTCACTCGGCGTCTCAGAGCAGTTTACAAATTCCTTTCCCTTCTCCTCCCCACAGCAGACACCCTGTGAGGTAGGTGGGGCTGAGAGAGCTCTTTCAAGAACAGCTCTGACAGAACTATGACTTGCCCAAGGTCATCCAGCAGCTGCAAGTGGAAGAGTGGGGAATCAAACCTGGTTCTCCAAGATTAGAGTTCACGCACTTAACTACTACACCAAACCGGATGGGCCAAACATTTCTGATCCACAATGGACTCTCTTCCAAAGCATAGCACCATGCTGACTCTTGGCAACAGACTTGATATTACCTCTATGAAGAAACACTGGCTCTCTTGGACTTTCCCTGTTCCTGCTCTAAGTCAGGTGCCCCGAGGTTTGGCCAAGCTCCAGGTGGACCAGAAGATCTCCTGGAATTATAATTGATCTTTGGAGGATGAACTCTATGGCATTATACCCTTCTGATTTCCCACCCCACCCTCCTCAGGCTCCACCCCCAAATCTCTAGGAATTCCCTAACCTAGAGTTGGTAATCCTAGTTCCCCCAGGAAACTCACATGCTTAAGAGCAAAAAGATCAAACCCATAGTTTACAACTCTCATTCTTACCAGGATCTTTCTTTGTCTCCTTAGGAAGCCCTAATTTGTTCATGTCTCGTAAGTAATTCAGCTCTGCCAAGAGCATATTAGCTAAGCCTGCCCAGGCAGCAGTAGACCCAGCCATGCATATAGATGATGAAGGCCCTGGTTCCAATCTCAGGATGATGTATTAGGCAATAAATGTTCCCACTACCTGTAACTAGAGTCTGAGGAGGCAAAAATGCCGCACATAAGATGTCATCCTGGTGCTGAACTCCTCCTTTCCAGTCTGAGGGCTGAACAAGACTCTGGGTCAAGCTGCTAAGGTGGAAGACCGTAATCATCCTAAGAGGAGAGACAAGCACAAACACAACAGGAATCTCCTGTCATTTCTGAATCCCTTCGCAAACTACAATGCTTTATCATAGACAGAAAAAGAAGGAGGAGGAAGAGATTGGATTTATACCCCGCCCTTCACTACTGAAAGGTGTCTCAGAGCGGCTTACAAACTCCTTTCCCTTCCCCTCCCCACCACAGACACCCTGTGAGGTAGGTGAGGCTGAGAAAGCTCTTGACAGAAACTGCTCTTTTTCAAGAACAGCTGTGCCAGAACTACGGCTTGCCCAAGGTCATCCAGCAGGTGCAAGTGGAGGAGCTGGGAATCAAACCCGGTTCTCCCAGATTAGAGTCCGCGCACTTAACCACTACACCAAACTGGTGTAGTCTATATATCCTATATATCTCAGGTTCAGATATCCAGAGGCCAAGATATACTCCCGGGAATCTTTAAAATGTAATTGAATAAAAGTGAGGTTCCTAGCCCTCAGGTGTGTTGAGAAAAAAGTTTCGAAGTGCATAGGCAGTGGGATTTGGCTAGATCAGGTTTATCCTCTAACCAGTGGAAGTAGGAAACGCATTTCAGAACTTTTTTCTCAACATGTACATGTTTGCTTGGAAGGAGGAATAGGTGAACATGTGCATATCTGTCCACCCACATCCCATACCACAGGTGTCATTTTTGGAAAGGCTGGCACAGGACTTGCTGTTTGCAAGCCAGAAGTCATGCATGGAGAAAATAGCTCTATCTACTTTGCAGACTCCTGGGTTAGCACACCATAAGGTCAAGAGAAGCCCTAAGGTCACAAGAAGCTGTCCTTCTGTATTGCATGTACGCAGTAATACAGCATCATCTGCCATGGATATTGTCAACATCGACATTCCATCAGAACTCAGAACCAAATAAAACTGAGCAATTTGCCTGCCCTCAGGGAAAATGGAGAACACTCCAGTCTCCCCCCCCCCCAAGCATTCATTTGTTGTATGTACATTAGGGATGGGCACGAACCATCTCAAAAATAAAAGTTTGTGATTAATTTTGGCCATGGTACACAAAGTGAATGTTCATGGCAGGTCAACCAGTATGACCTTTCCACGAACTTTCAAGCTGTTTGTGGCAATTCGTGGTGGTGCGTGAATGGATATATTTCCATACAGACTGTCTCCACTCAATCTAAATGTTTACCAGAATTCAAAGTAAGGGTGGGGCAGAACTTGGAGGGCATGTAGAAGAGCATCCCCTGCAAGTTTGGTGTCTCTAGCTTGCACAGGACCTGTTCTGTACACACCTGAACCTCCTGAACCTGCACCTGTCATTTCCCCAGAAAGCACTTTCCTGGGAACACTTTTTTGGAGAGCTGTTAACTTGGACCCAGTAAATCCAACCCTCATCAAACTTGGAGTCCAGGTAGAGGAGAGTCATCCGGAGATCCCCTGTGGGTTTGGTGTCTCTAGCATGCTGGGTGGTGTGTGTTCTACCATGTCACGAACCTCATGAACTGAACCTTCATTTGACAACTAAAAGTTTGTGGTGGTTCGCGGTTCGCAAACCAGGCACACCACAAACCACAAATGAAACGCACTTTCATGGCCCATCCTTAAGGTACATGCCACTCTTTCTCCAAGAGGCTGAGAGCAACTCTAGAAAATATTTTTTCTCATATCAACACTGTAAGGTTAGACCAAGGTAGAAGTCCTTGCACAAAATCACAGACCATGTGGAGCTTTGATCCCAGGTCTAATACCTTAACTACTGCAGCTTCTCTACAGAGTATGCTATTTATTCAGCCCTTCGCCTTTGTTCAGTGCACATATTGCCCATCTGAGCCTCTTATTTACTGATATATTTACTTTATTTATATTCCACCTTTCATCCCAATGGGGATGCAAAGCAGCTTACATCATTCTCCTCTCCTCTGTTTTATCCTCACAACAATCCTGTGAGGTAGGTTAGGCTGAGAATGTGACTGGCCCAAGGTCACCCAGCAAGCTTCCACAGCGAGAGTGGGGATTCAACCCCAGATTTCTCAGATCCTAGTCCAACGCTTTAACCACTGCACCATGCTGGCTCTCTTATGGAGAGATCTTGTAAATCTGCCCAATGCCACATACACAGAGTAATCGAAAACCTCATGCATCAGTATGAAGAGAAACCAGGGAAGGAGTCAGACCATACTGTCTCTTTTTTTAAAAAAAGAAAAAATGTAACAGTTGGGATTTGCCAAATTCTAGTCCCATTTCTTTTCTGCATGAAACTGCAGAGCATGCCTAATCCTGGCTGTTAGTCCCAGCCTACTCCATCCTCTGGACCTTTCTGACTAGCCAAACCTATTTATTTATTTATTTATTTATAAGTATTTTTACCCCGCCCTACCCCGCGAGCGGGCTCAGGGCGGCTTACAAGGGGCATAGCCCATTCATAAAACCAATAAAACCATAACTTTTATAACAACAGTGCAATTCAACAATAACAGTAATAAAGTGCTTCAATTTGGCAAGATGGTCTTAGTCTCCTCGTCTAAATAATGCAACATGTATGGAACCCCAAAGCCAGTTTGCGCAGACTCTAATCTGGGAGAGCCGGGTTTGTTTCCCCACTCCTCCACTTGCACCTGGCTGGATGACCTTGGGCAAGCCATAGTTCTGGCACAGCTGTTCTTGAAAAAGAGCAGTTTCTGTCAGAGCTCTCTCAGCCCCACCTACCACACAGGGTGTCTGTTGTGGGGAGGAGAAGGGAAAAGAGGTTGTAAACTGCTCTGAGACTCCTTTGGGTAGTGAAGGGTGGGGTATAAATCCAACCTCCTCCTCCTCACTCTTCTTCTCCTTCTCCTCATGAAGCCAGCTGGGTGACCTTGGGTCAGTCACAGTTTTCTCAGAACACTCTCAGCCCCACCTACCACACAGGGTGTCTGTTGTTGGCAGAGAAAGGGAAGGTGATTGTAAGCTGCTCTGAGACTCCTTTGGGTAGTAAAGAGTGGGTATAAAAACAACTCTTCTTCCAAACAAGGGAATAGACCCAATGGGCAAGAAAAGGAATAATGTTGTGACTTGGGGTGGGATCCCTCAGATCTGTTCCACTAGCAGCTGTGCTTTCCTCCAGTGAAAAAAGCTCATTCCCCTGATACCCCTGCAACCAGAGGAAGGCTCATCACACGGAATGAAAACATTCCCAGTAGCATTGGGTAGCAGCGGGATCCAGCCCACTGTTACTAATAGGAATCTTTGCAACATGAAGGGAAACGTTTTAAGGTTTATTCTTGTTCTCTTTTTTTTACTTTCTTTATTGATTTTTTTTTTTTGTACAAAGACTGTATTGCAAGTATCATTCTGGGACTTTTTCATCACCCATTGTTCCATTGTGCTTCTTTGCTGCCAAAACATAATGGCAACTGTCTCTGTTGCAGCGCACATTGTTTCCTGCCATCCTAGAAGATGAGGGGGATAATTACTACACTCTTCTCCTCGCAGCGGTGTTATGATGAGTTGTGTAGGTGATTTTTAAAAGACATAACAGCGTATAAAAAAAACAGATTTAAAAATGTCGGATTCTTCAACAACCCAAGTTATATACTGGGATAAATAGAAGGTCTTTAACACCCCACTGGCATAACTTTGAAAATGACAAATATCCTGGATTTATGCATATGCTGGATTCTTGTGGTATTAACTCAATGGAGTTCCCCTAGAGAAAGGGTAAGGGGAAGTTGCAATTAGTGGTACATTATCACTTACTTAATGAACTATCTGTAATCACTAGCAGCTGCTTAAAGATTTTTTTTCCCCTGTTGGATCTCTGTTATTGGATTTCTCACGCTTTCATCCCAAACTTCCTCCTCTTGGGCAGTGTACATGGTCTCTTGCCCCTCTTTTGTCTGAATAACAACCCTGTGGAAGAGCTGAGCTGAAAGAAAGGGCGTGACTTAAGGATAACCCATGACTGAAGGGCTCAAACAGGAAACTCAAAGATCAGACATCTCCATCCTTTTATGTAAGAAAGATTTTGGGAAGAAAGATTTTTAGGTTTGCCAACCTTCAGGTGAAGCCTGGAGATCTTCTGGAATTAAAACTGATCTCCAGGTGACAGGGATCAGTTCCACTGGAGAAAATGGAGGGCAGAGTCTATGGCATTATAGACCTCACTGAAGTCCTGCCTGTCCCCAGGCTCTGCCCCTAAATCTCCAGGAATTTCCCAATCCAAAATTGGCAATCCTGCATTCTTCACTTAGGAAGCACCACAGAAAGATGACCTTCCTCAGGCGTATGCCAGCCAACAAGGCCCGATCACTCCCAGCAGTAATAGGAGTACCAGTCAGACATTTATCCTTCACTCAAGGGCCTGCCTCTTGTCCTGTGTCTTTTTATTTCAGAAACTGTGCATTTAAATTTGTTCGATTTAGGGGCCCACCCCTCTCCCTCCTGCTCTGCAGCAATTTCTCCACTAGGAGTTGACAGGCCTAGGCCCAATGATCAGGCATTTTAAGTCTGCATATGCACATCGGCACTGTCTCCTCATTTGTTGTTGTTCAGTCACACAGTCGAGTCCGACTCTTCGCGACCCCATGGACCAGATCCCGCCAGGCCCTCCTGTCTTCCGCTGTCCTCTGAAGTTTGCTCAATTTCATGTTCGTTGCATCGATGACACTGTCTAACCATCTCATCCTTTGCCGTCCCCGTCTTCTTTGACCTTCAATCTTTCCCAGCATCAGGGTCTTCTCCAGTGAGTGTTCCCTTCTCATTTGGTGGCCAAAGTATTTGAGCTTCAGTTTCATTATCTGGCCTTCCAGGGAACAGTCAGGGTTGATTTCTTTTAGGATTGACTGATTTTATCTTCTTGCAGTCCAAGGGACTCTCAAGAGTCTTCTCCAGCACCATAGTTCAAAAGAATCTATTCTTCGGCACTCGCCCTTCCTTAGAGTCCAACTCTTGCAGCCATACATGACTACTGGGAATACCATTGCTTTGACCATGCGGACTTTTGTTGGCAGGGTGATATCTCTACTTTTTATCAT